TTAGTTTCACTGTGCAAGAGTCTCATTCATTTTTGCAAACCTAGTACTTTACATGATGCTGGGAACATGTCTGTGCCGAATAAATGTATTTCTCACTATTATTTATTGAAATCTCTGTCTGCCACTTACTGATCTTTGATAGATTTTTAAATTTTCCAAATCTGTTTCCACATCTATTAGATTGGTATTATAATAGTACCTCATAGTGTTGTTAGAAATGTAAAGGCAATATGTACAAGCAGTTTAGCACAGTGCCTGGCACAGAGAAAGTCAATAGTAATTAAAACACAGAGAGTGAGTGTACTTTTGAAACTTGATAAATGAAGGCTATCCAGGCTATCCCATTGTTTTGTGATTGTTTTTGTCTGCCCTTCCTTTTACCTGTTATGAGTGAGCTGTTTGTGGCAACATTGATGTTCTGAGTCACTGAACTAGTTAAGGAAGCAAATTTCAAAGCCACAGTTACTTTGTGGGCCCTCAGGGCAAGAGGAATGAACAATTTGAGCCTTCACAGAAACTTCTGCCAGAATGAATGCGCTAGGCAGGGCAAGCTGGTGTTTCCCAGGAATCTCCCTGACAAAGTGACAAGAAGTGCTCTACCAAGACCACATAAATGCTACATGAAACCCGCACAATGGGCTCGCTCAACAAATCAATATGTAAACTCATCCCCAAGAGAAAAGCAGATGACAAGGGAAACCACAAAAAGAAGGAAACTAAGAATGTGGGGCTCTCCTCCCGCCTGAGACCCCTGCCACAAATTGGAATCCAGAGGCCTGTTGTTTACATCTGAACAAAGCCAATGCTGAATCCCAACAAAGGGTCCTGAAGAGTAGCCCTGGCCGGTTTATGACTGCCAGAGACAGTGCTATAAAAATAGCTTTAAAGACACAACTCAGAGTGCAGGGCTGTGAGCCAGAAACGGAACATGGAAAATGAGCCTTTTCATGCCCCAGAAGTATAAACAAACAAGCCACCACCAGCCTGACCCTCATACTGGAAGAAGTGGGGCATGGTGCACTATCTCTAGAACTTACAGGAGTGCTCAAGAAAGCATAAAATGCATGGAGCAGAGGGGCATGTGTGTGGTGGAAGACAGGTAGATTATTAGAGGAAACATCCAAGAGCTTTTTAAACCTCCTCCAGTGCCAAGATTTGGAGCCGCAGCTGTGAAAGGAACACTTTGCCTGGCATCCTGGATGCAGCATTTAAAAAGTCTCCCAATGAAAGTATACTGTTAACTCCTCTTTTTTAAAAAAGAAAATAAAAACTTTCATATTTAGAGTAGCTTATGTCAGAATTAGATAATTTAGGAGGAAGACCTGAACAGAAATCCCATTGCAAGAGCCAAATATGATAACCAGTATGAAGGCAGACACTCAAATCTGTTTAGAAGTTGAAAGTCAAAATAAAGAAGCAATGCATTTTAAATGGGCTGTAAAGCACAGGAAAAAAGAACAAGGTTTGGCTGCCTTCATAAGGCAAAGGCCACAGAGGCTGAGGAATTAGGGAAGTAGTGTTGGTGCTGCTCATCAGCTCCAATCCAAGCCCTGTGGAGGCCAGGACTCTTTTGGCCACAAAGACCCCCAGGTATACACTTCATAAGGCACCACTGGGCCACCCTGAGCCCCCGCCACATGGAGTGTCTTCCTGCAGCTCTCTTTATCTCTGCTTCCTACATCTGTCCTTATGGCTCTGCCACTCACCCTCCTGGAATCCATTTATGTTGCCAGTTTGTACCACCTCTGGGAGATAATTCATTCCATAAATTTATTACTTGCTGCATGAAGTAGTATTTCCACTGACTTGTCCTGAACTTGCCCCACTTGTGGTTCCAAAGCACTGCTATATTTCAGGATCTGATGAACAAGTCTGTACTTATCGTATCCACATCATTTATAGTCTGATCATTTCCTCCTAACAGCCTTCTCCTTGTCAGCAGCCCTGTGACTTCCACTCAGTTCCTCAGAGCATCCAGGTTGCTGTTTGGGGACTTTCCCTAACCCCATTTTAACCTTCTCGACCTTCTCACAGTGTTGCAGGCAAGAATACACCAGTTATTGGTAAGAGAAAGATAATGTTCTCAATTTAAAATTTCCCACACCTGAAGAATGTGTCCAATTTTGTGCAGCATTGTCCGGGGTGCAACCACATTATAAAAGACACAGCTTCCAGGCTCAGAGTTTGCAAACTGATGGGAAGCTGTCTTCAGGCAGCACAGGTTGATCAGTACTAGCCAATACTGCAAGTTAACCTGTCTGAAATAGGGCATTGCCAAAAAAGAAATCCAAGTGTAGTCAGTCTTAGCTTCAAAGCAGACTAAGTTCAGTACTTAGCACTCCATTGATTTTCTGAGAGGGAGGCAACACCTGTTTTCTGCAACATACGGATGTGAAACCAGAGACCAACAGGTGCTAAAGCTAGTGAGGGGTGGTCAAAAAGGGGTTCCAATTTCCAGTCTTAGTTCACAAATCTGCTTATTTTGGCTTCTTTAAAAAAAAAAAAAAAAAACTTAATATTTTGTTCCACTCCATTTAGTGCCCACAGAGAAAGTCAATAGTTTCTTGACCACTTTCAACTATCTTTAGTGAAAACAAGAAAAATAATAAGGATTAAGCAAAATGTAATGGCCCTGTTGCTGCCTGGGGCTGTTCATGAGTTCATGGGAGTTGGGATTTTACTGCCAAGAGAATAAAATGGTAAGTGAGTACTCCAACCTGCTTTTTCATAAGGGATGCATCATCCACCCAGAGTGAAAACATCCTGGCCAGATGCCCACTGCTTTTCTTCTGCCTAATTGCATCTTCTAGTCGTGTCAATACAGCAACAGACTTTGCAGCCTTGGCCGTCTAGTGTGAGGAAATTCACCATCCAGCCCACCTATAAGTCCCAATTTCTCTGCCACAGGAGTTGCAGGTTTTCAGCACTAGACTTTTTTCCTTACTAATTGAGATAGCTAGAGACACCATCTTATGGATGGCCCCTGGTTTCCTTTCTACTATCAGACAACCATGTCCATGAAGCTCTGAGCTCAACTTGATTGCCCTGTTTTTCTCATTTAGTTTCTTCCTTCCTTTTCTCTTAAAAGCAACCCTACATACCCATCACCCAGGCCAGGAGCAATCTGTAATGTTGCTCCAGACTTCCAGAAAAGCATTTTCTATGGCATCCCCACAACAGGCATCATTCAAGACTCACACATGATCCCTGCTCAAGAGCGGAATTCCTTCACAGAAGGCAGATTCCTCCTCTATAGGTGATATGGTGGTAAAAGGATGCATTGAGGGGTTGGAAACACTTGGATTCAAATCTGGCTCAATCATTTATTAGCTATGTGACCTTGAGGAATTTCCTTAGCTTCCTCTGAACCACAATTTCCTCACCTGTACAATGAGGATAATACAACATCTCATAAATGTGTTGTGAAAGGTTGAATAATATACTGTGTGTAACCCTCCAGGCAAAAGACTTCCATTCCCGTATCTTCAGGCCGGTATTCAAGGCCTTACTATCATCCATCCCAGGCCTGTCTTCCTCATGGCCTTGTTAGACTCTATATTCTGGCCTTAAGCTCCAGGAGCTTTAGAGGAACCTACTGTACATAGGTAGACAATTCCAGGCTTAAAGTGTCCTTACTAATTTCAGCTTCTCCCAACTTGGGAATCTAGTCTTCCTTTGAAAGAAAACCTTTATTTTCTCCTTTTTCTAATTATTTTTGGCATTCAAGCTGGATAGTGGGTTTTCTCTTTGGCCTTTCAACTCAGAGCCACATGGTTTCTCCTGAATAAACAGAAAGGAATCTCTTGAAGCTCAGTTGTAGCAATTGGTTGCAGCTGTCATTTTAATGCCCACTTACAGGAGCCAAAGGACACCAATACTCAGGCACAGTCAATGGTGGGCAAGTCCTGCCTCAGCACCTGGCACCTGGTACCTGTGCACCTGGCAAACACAGCCGATGGAACAGCATCTCAGGTTCCTGTCAGGAAGAACCTCCCAGGATGACACGAGGAGGCACCTGAGATGCTCCACAGCCAGGTTCTGGCATCCCCCTGCCCGTTTTCCCACCCACAGTATCCCTGGAGGCAATGAACAAGCCCTGGATCATCAGAGCTTCGTGTCTGGAGTCCCCTATTCAACCGTGGAGCAGGCCTTTTCATTTCCTAGCATCCCATGTGCTCGGAACTAGACTGAAGAGATCTGAATAACAAGTAGATGGAGAGCAACAGAGGATGAGAGGGAAGAACCCCTGAGAACTTTTTGGAAAAAAGCACAGCTTTCCCCTCCATCTTTGCTTCTGACAGCTCCTGGGGCGCAGTTCTCCTTAAAGCCTCCAGGGAGCAGAGGCAAAGATTCTAAAGAGGCGAAAGGTAGCAAACAGAGTGCCTATCTGTCCTGATGTTACCTGCACCCCTTGAAGCACCCGGCGTTGACTAGAGGGGCCTGTCATGCTCATTTGTCCGGATAAGACATCTGAGCCTTCACCCAACCTGCCGCCTGGTCTCCCTCTCCAATGCCTCCCACCCCTTCCAGGAAGGCCTCTCTATTAGGCACCTGTTTTCCCTGAAGCCGGGTTTGCCCGGAGTTCAGTGTCCAGTCCCTGGAACACTGGCACGTCTGTGAAATACACTGGGGCTGGTTCCGCAGCGGCTGTGTCCTGAAGGAGGCGTGTTCCGGGACTGAGGGGGCAAGGACGCGTAATGGCGGGGGCGGGAGCCACTGGCGGGAAGACTGGGAAGGGAGGGCGCGTCTGGGGCGTGTGCGCCCAAGGCCAGAGGCACCCGAGGTGGGCTGGTCCCGGATGGAAAGCCTGGGCCGAGCCCCAGGAGCGGGCAGGACCGCGAGCCAGATTCAGGAAGTCGTGCCTCTGACATCAGGGACAGCACGGAGTTGGAGCGAAACCTCAACTATGCGCGGCGTCGGCCCGCAGGAGGGCAGGGAACACAGAGGGCGCTGTCCTCGGCGGCAGCGGCAGGTACGCGCCGCGGCGGGGCGGGGCGGGACGGGCGGCTCCCGAGACCTCGGCCGGCCCCGGGGCCCTCCACGCCAGACCTGGCTCGGGGTGGGAGGACAGGGGCAACCAAAAAGGAACCCAGAACTCGCCGCACGGCCCAGGGCGCTGTCAGACAGGGCAGCACCCGGGAGATCCCGGGGCGACCACGCCTGCAGGAAGCCCTTCTGCGGACCGAAAGGTGAGTTTCTGCACTTTTTGTTATGTATTTTTAAAATGCATTTTTAAGGGTCCTCTCTTTGGAAGGGGACGAACACTTACTTCTTTCTTTAGAAGCACGAGACCTGCCCTAGAGATACAAGTAGCCTCTTGCGCCTTCACAACTAGCTCTGGTGTGTTTCCCTCCTTCGCGAGGACTCACGGGAGCCTTCCCCTCTGCGCCTGGGCTGAGTCCACATGGGCGCCGCGGAGGTCGCCGGGAGTTACCTTACCCCAGCTGCCGGTGGGAGCGCTTTGAAGGGGACAGGTGGACATTGTTTGCTACTGAGAAGGCCAAGGCCTGAGACCCTCCAGAAAGCATCGCGGGCTTAGGTGTTTCTAAATCATTCTAGGTGAAGCCAGATTTTCTCTGGGGCTAAGGAACTGGCCAAAACGAAAATATGGCCTGGAGCCCGGGGCGGAGAGGAAACCTGTTTGCTGTTCTGAGAGTTTCCAGGGAGCTTGCTGTGACATAGATTGCTAATTAACTTCTTTGACTCTCTCAACGGTCCCACTCCCAGACCCGCATCCCACCCGTGAAGGTAGAATGGGGGACGTAATAGGGCCTGTTTCTAACATTCTGAAGAGCTTTACGGGGATTCATCATATGATCATAGAGTTAAGTAAACTATAGATGATAGCTAGTGGGAAGACCAGTCCCGCGTAACCGAAAGGGAAACTGAAGCACAGACAAACTCACCCTAATTTAACCGAGAACACCGGTGGCCAGCAGGTCATGCTACTTAGCGGGATTGCGCCACGGATTGTGTTGCATGAGGAAGGGAAGGAAAAGAGCACTGGGGCATCTTGGAAGCGCCTCCTTTCTAGAGCAGTTGCATTTGATTCGTTCAGCTGCAGCTCATAAGGACCTGAAGCTAATTTAAAGAACCCTCGTTCTGAAGTTCTGTTAGATAATGGGAGAGGCTTGAGTTACAAAGGGCAGAACTTAAAAACAGCATTGATATAACTTGTTCCTAACCCTTTTGCAAATGGTTTGCAAGTTGTGTCTACAGACTTCTGCAAGGGTTTTATCAGCCTTTAAGCTAGTTCACCTGCATCAGCCACTTAGTCTGATGTGCCTGCCCTTCACCCAGTGCTGGGCTGGAGAGGCAGCTGTACCAGAAAATCTGATCAAGTCTTCCCTTTTGTCTGAAATTCGGCCTCTCCTTCCTCACCCCAGATACAATTTTAGGAAAGAGATGCATTGTAAAACAAATGTTTATCTGGCCTCCATACATTGTCAATATTTAGCCTGTGAAATAAAGAGTATGACTTCTGTCCTCTTCCCTAAAGATAAACTCAAGAGAATAATAAACACTCAACAAGCTAAATTACTGATTTCACCAAAGAGGGAGGTGCATCCATTCCATACATTCAGTCAATATTTAACAAACCTACTGCATGCTGGCCAGTATGTCAGGGCCTCGGAGTCCAAAGATAATGAGATGGTTTCCGCTTTTGAGGAGCTTCAGTCTGGTGAGACAGATACAGAAACTAACTACAGTTCAGGACAATATACATCATAATAGCAGTGGCTACAGGGCTCTGACTAATCCAGGGGAAAGGGCAGGAGATCCTTCCCCAGAATTATCTGTTATGTCCACATCACAGAAGTGATGGATGAGCAGGGTCTTGAAAATGACTAGGAGTTGCCAGGGAAAGCGTTTGAACAAAGGAAAGAGTGTATGCAAAGTCCATGGCAGGTAGAGGAACAGCGTGTAATAGGAATTACACTGCTAGACAGAGAAGGGCGAACTCCCTCCTATGGGAAGCCATTTTTGTTTTTGTTTTTAAGCAGAGGAAGGATCTGGTCAGATTCGTGTTTGGAGAAAGAATTATTGGCCAGATGGAGACTGGCTTAGAGAGATGGGAAGCAGAGATAATGAAGACTTCAGCTAAGACAATGGCAGTGGGAAATGGGGAAAGGAATGGATTTTAGGAAGTGCAATAAAAGTACCTGGTGACCAAGTGAAGATGGTAAGGGGGGAATGAGTTGAACAGAGGGTGATTATAAGGTGTTGAGTGGGATAGACAGGGGAAGGTATATTGTGGAGCCATTAATAAAAATCTTGTAAGCTATAGAAGGAGTGGGCTTGGGAAGCAGATTGTAGAGAAGGCAGTGATGAACACTTTAGACATACGTAAGTTGAATATGCCCAGGAAATGTCCAGATGAAGTAAGCAGTTGGGTATACAGGTCTGGAACTTAGGGACAATGGAAGGCAGCTAAAGAGGCCTGTGGTAGCACCACGCTGGTGCTGAAGAGTCTTATATTTGTCAGTAGTGGCCTATAGATATTATTTTCATATCATATGGTAACTTCCAGATGACTTTCTCCAGACACTCAAGGCTTTCTCAGGATACCTTGGAGGATAATTTCAAAATGATGGAGAGAATTCTGGGTTCAGGACACACAGATAGTAAAGGTGCATTTAATTATCACTCCCTCATGTGAAAAATTAATACTTAGTTCCATTGTAAGATCTGTGAAGACCTCTCCAGAACTCATACTCCAAGTCTTTAGTTACCTACCCATGTGTGGGAGAGTCCTGCCTTCATGAAAACAAGGAGGATGATCTGCTCCAACTAATTCCAGACCCTTACAGAATAGGTCTTTAGGTCTGACTGCCAATGCTCAGCTTGGGATCTTGTGTGACCTGCATGGAAAAAAAAAAAAACCTTGAACTTAGAGCTAGACATCCATATATGGCTTAACCACTTACTAGCTGACCTTGAACAAGTTCTTGAATCTCTCAGCTTCATTTACCTTATATTTAAAATAGGGATAATTATTACCAGTGCAATGGTTAGAATCAGAATCAAATTGAAAAAGAAAGTTCATTTAATGTGCTACATAAATTGTAAGACTCTATAAAAATGTAAGGGGTTTTATTATTATTTCTAATCTTGCCTCTTGAAACTACCAAAATTAGATGGACTGTGTAGGTGTAGGCTCTGGGCAGCATCTTTGGCCCAGACTTGCAGCTTTCTTATTGTATGACATATTGTAAGGCAGTAATTATAAGTCTCATTCCATCACATCAGCGACGTGCATCTACTCTGACCTCTTTTGTACTTCTTAGCTAAATTGGTCAGAGCCCAAAAAAGTCACTGCTTTGCTAATGTTTATGCAGGTTGTATACTGCACAAGGACTCCTGGGAGTCTATGGGGCTGAAAGCAGCCAGCATTTCACCTGCTATGCCTTAGACCCACCCCACTTGCAGCTGAGTCCACATGGAAGCGATACCTTTTTCTAATTCTCACCAAGGTGCTGATTTAACCCATTTAATCCAATGGCCCTGAATCTGACCATCAGTCAATGGCTTGGATATATTTGTGATTTTTCCCTCCCCCAACCAGGGAAAACTGACTTATTCCAGCCCATGAAGTTCGAATGTTATGCCAACATCAAAAACTTTCAAGTAAACAGAGTCTAAGCTGTTGATGAAAAAAAGGAAGTAACCACAGATTGAGACTTCAAATGGAAAAACATTTCTGAGAGAGCCAACCCCACCCCTTCACTTCACAGATGAGCAAACCACAGTTCAGGGAGGGGAAGTGTGTGCCCAGTCACACGGCTGGTTAACAGAGGGGCCAGAATCCAAGTTCCATCTGTCTTTGCCCAGGAATACCCAGTACTATCCAGGATCTCGATCACCTTATGTATCTTGCACGCAAGGACACAGCTAGGCATTCAAATGCCTGCAAAAAGGTGAAATGAAAAGATTATACCTGAAGTTCGAATCCTCCCCCAGTGGCCTCTGGGACAAACTAGGAGAAGACTCTCAAGGGATACAGGTAGTTCTCAACTTTTTTTTTTTTTTGAGATGGAGTCTTGGTCTGTCGCCCAGGCTGGAGTGCAGTGGCACAGTCTCGGCTCACTACAACCTCCGCCTCCGGGTTCAAGCAACTCTCCTGCCTCAGCCTCCCAAGTAGCTGGGATTACAGGCACCCGCCATCTTGCCTGGCTAATTTTTGTATTTTTAGTAGAGACGGTTTCACCATGTTGGCCAGGCTGGTCTCAAACTCCTGGCCTCATGATCCTCCCACCCTCGACCGCCAAAATGCTAGGATTACAGGCGTGAGCCACCATGCCTGACCAGTTCTGAACTTTTAAGCCAACCTCCATACCACCCTTGTCTCTTCTGTTTCCTCAGTTTCAATCCTTAAAGTTTTCTCAGGAGTTCCCAAAGACCCCTCAAGAAGGGCAACAATATTGGGTTCCTTAATTAACTAAAACCCTCTTAGCGTTTCATCAAACATGTCAGGAAGAGTGTTTTCGCCTCAGAGATCAGAATGAGCTAGAGACCAGTGGATGAGCCGGCATTACACATCCAATATCAATATGTAACTTACCATTCAGTGAAAAGGGCTCCAGGTGAATACTGGGCATTCAGGAGACTTGTCACAGGCACAGTAAGAAAGATAAAGACAGTGGCACCATAGACTTCTTCCCTCCCTGCACAGCAAAAGGAAAATTGGGTGCAAATTCTTTGAAGGGCTGGAGCCCAGCCCAAGTTTCTAGCTTTTCTCCCACATTGGTCTAAGCCATCTGAACAGAGCATCATCTGGGGACATGAGTAGACACTTAGTGGAGACTGGAAAAGGGTAGCTACGTTCCAAAACGAGCCTCACACAAGCACAAGATTTCTTTCTCAGGGGCAACTCCCAAGGGACATGGCAGCATCCAAACGCAATCCCCACCCCTGGGAAGAGACTTGCTCCCACGATTGTAAGCAAGCCGCTCCATGGAGTTTGTCACTAAGAAATAAAACAAAACCTAACCATTGCTGTATTTCTTGGTCAAAACGGAAGAGATGATTGTATTTAGAAGCCACTGCAGACATGCCCTTGCTCTTGACTATAACTTTCTCCCGGTGGGATATTTTTCAGTTAAGTTTTATTCTCCTCAAATACAACCCTAACTTCAAACTGGATAGTCTTCAGAAAAGCCCATCCACTTTTTTTTTTTTTTTTTTTTTT